GAAGTAAAAACAAGAGGGAAGACCCCCCCCCCCCCCCCCCCCCCCCCCCCGATGTCTGCCATCGGGGTTGGGTTTTCGTCGCTTGGCAGCGATGTTGTAAAACAAGCCAATCACTTCGTGAGCTCGGCAACCAGGTGACCGCTTTTTTTTTTTGCCTTCGTTTTTTGTTTTTTATGGCGGTAACCATGAATGGTGGTCGAGTAGATTATGTTGTGCGGAGTCGAGAACCCTGACTCCGCGCAAAGGGGATAATCGCACGCTGTGTTAGTATTGGTCAAGCACCCTCGAGGCAGTTACACACCGCTTACAGCTGTCTCTGGAAGTGAAAGCACCAGGAAATAAATTAAGTCATACGCAGCTGTCATCCGTAGGCAAGGAAGTAAGCACAAGATGCCGAACACCCATAGCAGGATGCAGCGCACCCTTCATGCGACTCGCCGAATACCTCACGGCGCTTCGCGCTTGGTGATGTGAGAGCCTGGTCCGGTGAGAACCCGGCATGCTCCGTCCCGGCTTTGTAGGGATGCGAGGTCAATGGTCTAACGACTACGGTATGCACGACTATGAGTACCCCCCCCCCCCCCCCGGGGAAAAAAAGTGCAAAAAATTTTTTATGTAATTTGTGGCAAAAACCTGAAAAACTCCCCAAAATTGGTGGTGTCTCTAATAAGGGTAAGAACGGGGCTCCCTCCCCAAAGGGAAGCGTGGGCCATGGGCCCATGACTAAAGGAAACAACCAATGAATACGCCCCCCCCCCCCCCCCCCCCCCCCTTTACCATGCACCAACACGTGCGTGCCGTCAAAATTGACATGGGCATCAAGGGTACAAACTTCCAAAACTTTTCACACAAAAAACAACAACACTTTCCGTTCTGTGTCTCCTGGCGATCGGTGTCTGTGCGAAATCCCCCGGGGTTCGCCAAGAAAAACCACCGAACATGACTTGCCCATGGACCAAGCAAGTCTCGCCGAACACACGACAACACAATACAGTTCGAAAATGACACAATGCACGCACTTGTGACTATCAGCAAGGCCTCCCCTTTGAACAAGGAAACAAATGGTCCAGCCAGTCGATACTCAGAATACGTCAAATGTCGTCCCCTAGGGGAATCTGCGGGACCCCGACTTCGCCTTGAGTCATCTGCGGCCCCAAATGGATAAAGTCGCGCTTTACAACAAGCACAGAAACGACCCATTCCATCAGTGCAACCACCCCAAATCCAAGTGTTCCCACCCGGTTCACAGAGAGAGGCTCCCTGAACCTTGATCAAGATGAAAATGCCTGGTGTACCTCTTGCGTGGCCCCGGCTGGCAAGCCCAGAAAGTGCACCGAGAGGTGTTGGCGCAGGCAGCATCCAGAACAAACATGAGTAGAAACAGACAAAATCACAACTCATGCTGGTGAACAGCACGAAATTCCCCGCTGGGAGCCTCTCCCTCTCGTTCAGCTAGAAACAAACCAACAGCCTCTTGTTTTGTAGACAATTGCTGCAACGGGAGCACGTCGAGTTCCGTCGGTACAGAGAGGTCTGCTTGCTTCTAGCGTATACTACTGCACCAATTGCCACCCAGCCGCGCGAAAAACTCGACTGCCAAAGCCGTGCCTGCCAGCAGTGAAAACAAAAACCACACTTGGCTAGCCCACCGAAATAGAACACTGGACGGTGTAAACGCGTGTCGAATGACAACCCGACGTGCCCTGTCCATGATATCTGCACGACCTGCTGCGGGTGACTACCTCACCCTGGTGCAAAGCCAGCCCCGGCCTTCTTTCTGTACAACAAACACAACGGCGCATCTACGTAGATCTTTCGAACGACGGAGACGATATCATTCCGTGAACAAACGCCGGCTGCAAGAACTAACAAACCGTACTCTTGCAGGGCTCCCCCCACTTCCCTGCTGAGCAACAACAACCACAACAACAACGAACGACAACATCAACCACAGTCTCGCACGTTAAATACTGACCGTCTCCCAGGCCAAGAAACAACCACTCATTGTGTGGAAATCATCTGAATGAAGTGCGGGTATCCGATCTGCAGCGTCCCCCTGAGCGATAGCAGGGCAACCAGGGGCTTCCCCTTGCCCCCCAAGAACGCCTCTATGCTTTCCATTTTCCCCTCCACGCAGAACGTGGTCCAGTTCTTCGGGTACGCCTCCGGCATCTCGGGAAAGGTCACCGACACCTCTTCTCGCATATCGAGTTGTCGATTCGGCATGGGGAGGGGGGCGAGGTCACCACGGGCTGGATAATGATCGCGCGGCTTTCGGGAAATGTTGCGCCTCATCTCAGAGGTGCAGGATAAACACACGCGGGGTTTACGCGATATGCACACGGCACGCAGGTTTTGGCATGTTCTTTTGTTGCAAAATTCAATTACTAGAGGTCGTTACACTAAACCGTAAATAGCAAAAACATAAGACTCCACACACGACCTTTTTAAAACTCAAATTAGTGTTGGATATCGTATCGATTTTTTCGATACATCGTATCGATTTATCGTATCGATATCGGATATCGAAAACATTTGAACTTCTCGATATTTCGATATTTCGATATTTCGATATCGATACGATAAATCGATAAATATTCCACGGAACCCCTGATGTTCCACACGGAACCCCCACAGCTGCACAGCACACAGCACACAGCAGCCTCACGCAGTGAAACGCGCGCATTCAACGAAGTAGCTGCAGCTACTACCCATTTATCTCTCATTATTGTGCCATTTATCTCTCATTGTTGTGAGAGCTTTGCTTTTCTGCGACAAGCAAGCTTGCTTTTTTTGTTGCGGCGTGCGATACCGCTGAGCTTTCTTGAGCAGCAGTGTAATATAACCAACTGATAAAAATGATTTTCATTTCTCGGTGTAGATGTAGATAGACTATTACCCACATACATATTGTTTTTTCAAGCAGCTGACTGTACACTGACGGCAGGTTTCGGAGGCCTATTTGCGGGTAATTTTGATGGGAAATGAAGCGGAATTGCTCCAATATTTCGGCCTCCGGCGGCGCCTCCAGCGGGCCCCCCTCACCAGCCGGGAGGGCGCTTGGGCTCGCACAGCGAGCTTCCGCGCCTTCGCGCGTCAGCTCACTGTGCTCGCCACTAACGGCTCGCTTCGCTCGCTGATATCGATGATATCGAACACTTCACGGGCGATATCGTATCGAATCTATTATTGAATCGATATCCAAAACTAGCTCAAATACCTAGCAACAAGAATATTTTGACTGCCGAAACTGGAGGTGTCGTATCCATCTGGTCGAGAGCATTCCAACAAGGATTCATTTAATTTTGGCATCCTCCTCCTCGTGGAACAATCGAGCACTAGAAATTGGTCCAGGGGGGGTGCTATCTTACGAAATCTAGGGTACGGTCTCCGGGACGACAGCAAAAATCTCCTCTCGGAGTGTGGTTCTGCAATTCCATGCAACGGACTTCTGTCATACATGCCAAGCTTACACCAGTCGTGAAGGATTAACATCGTTGCTAGTCGACTTCGGGCACACTCGAGCACACATAAAACCTTAGTGTTAGGGTTAGAACATCATGATGGCCGCAAATTATTATAGCGGAGACCAAACACATCATCGTAAGGATGAGACCGCAACGAAACACACCCACACCCACACCTGTGACTTCAAAGCTCGCCTTCCTCTCCCCGGCTGTCACCGTCGTCTTCCGCACCGACTTCTTCACGGCAACCTCTAAGGGCGTGCTCATCAACGCCTCCAATTCTTCGGACACCCCGCCCTCACCCTCCCCCGCCTCCTTACGTAGATGCTCGATGACCTCAGCCGGAGTCGCATCGTCTCCGAGCATGACCTTTCCAGCAGGGGTGCCGTGTGCAACAACAAACGACGGAAACAGCAAACAACGGGCAGAAAGGAGAGATCATAATTTTGATAGGGATCGTTTGGCATTGAAGAGGAAGCCGCAAACCGAGAGCGAGAAATATGGAAGACTTACGGTGGGCGGTGCGCAGGCAACATTGGTCAGTGCTCGTTCACGAACGCGGGCTGGGGTCGTACGGTGCTCTGGGACTTGTCGTTTCTTGTGGTTGACAACGAGGGGGCCAAGAGAGCAAGATGGAGAGGCGAAGCATGTGTTTTGGCGCAGATTTACTCCCAGTTTGACCTCTTTCGTCGTATTTTTCATGCTACTCGCAGGGGATATATTGAGAGAGAAATCAGAGTGACCTCATTGCAATTGTTGTTAGGCGCGATGGACGGAGGTTAGGAATAGGTGTGGTTAGTTCTTGGCTTGTAATTGACATACACAACATGGTATTCTCCTGAATCGGTGATGAGTGACCAATCCAAAGACGGCACCGGCGAAGCAAGAACAGCAGTAGCAACAGCGGCAACAATGAACCAAAACATCGGCAACCGCAACCACCAAGACCAACAACACCAACAACACCAACAACAACAACAACAGCATCAGCAACAAGAGCAACTGTGTACAGTAGCAACAACCGTGGAGTCTAGCGCAAGAAAATCCGAGAGCAACGACAAAGCGTAGTTGCTACAACCAACGTTTCAAAGATGAGTATTTCTGATGCTCCATGTATGCTTTAATAGTACTCCGTGGGTAAAACAGGCAGTTCTTCAGGTAAACGCTTGAACCATCTTCATGGTGTTCAATACCAAATAGAGGCACACAGAGGAGGAAGTCCAAGTACACGTTGTAGTAGTGGTGGCAGCAAGCAGCCTACACGGAGACAGCTGTAGCGGCATCGGCACCACCAAAAACACGTACCTTCTGGAAAGTTTCAGCTGCCCCAGGACCAACCCCACCGCCCAACGTCTGCCGCTGCTTCAAGGCTTTGAACTCTAGCCCTCCGCCTCCCTGTTGTTGTTGTTGTTGGTGTTGATGGTGAAATTGCGAAGCGAACGTGTCCGAGAGCAACGAAGTCCGTCGACGGTACTACAGTTCACGGCGCTGTACCGGGACGTCCATCGAGAACGCCTCTGGTCGTGATATAACCCCCCCCCCCACAGAGCGAGCACCGCCGGGTTAGGCCCCACTATCGTGCTGCTGCTATTGTCGATATTTTCATTCTAAGTCGGTCAAAATTCCATTCCGCATAAAATTCTTGAAGGATGAGTCTAGTCTGCACATGGAGTAACTCTGCTGTCGCCTCGTAGTGATGACAATACTTTTCTTGATGCTCGTGATCCATCAACCATCAACTGCTGGTAATCCTTTCGGTCCCCGAATCCACGCCTTTTTGCACCCGAAACATTGTAGCGACCCCTATTTCCAAAGATGGCACTGTGGTAACACAGAGGACGTTGTGCTGCTCGCTGTGCTCCCGGAAACATTCCTGTTTTCACACTCACGAGAAATTGGCGAATAAGTCTATTTACTTGTTTGTGAAACACACGGATTGGTCGGTGTCCCTCCGACCCTGAAATTTTGGGACTTTTTTTTGTAGATACATATGCATCCGGCGCCAGCCATGAAAACCACACCCGCGGCACTGCTTTGTAGGAGAGAAGCGAGAGAAGCACAGATATGCAGTACCCAGTGCACCGTAGTTGGCACGAGCTGATTCGCACTGCTGTGCGTGCAACAGGAGGCCTGCATAAGCACAGGACGCCCTGCACGCACATGCACGTTCCTGAGGCGTTATTCTGGCGGTGGCCACACCAAAATGCGCGGACGTTTTCAAAAGCCTGTACTGCCTGTGTGGAAATGTAGATGGATGTCCGTCCGTGCTACTGCTGTACAAGGCCGTCCAGATTTTTTACAGCTACCGCTGTTCTACAGTGGTCTACATGCTGTAGACTCCACGTGGTGGTGGAAACTCCAGGGGCTGCTGCTGTGTACGCGTGTATGTATGCCATCCGCCATATGCCGGGAACAACGGTATTCGCCCGAAACACCTCGGCAAAATTTCCGGAGGTTAGACTAATCGTGCCCATCAATCAGCGCAGACCCCAACGGTCCAATATCTAGCGGTACACTATCCTTTGCGTTGAGCACATCGAAGAGCTTACCTGCACCCAAAGGGGACGCGTGTCTACTGCTGACCTACAGCTTGAAAATAAAGCCAGTGCCGCGAGAAATTTCCGCTCACGTCTGGAGCCAAAACGATCAAAATGTCGTCTGTCTCCACAGCACGTAAGGCTGCACGCTCTCACCCTGTCTTTTGACCTCGACTCGTCATGCTTCAGTCACACTGCCATCGCAAACCTCTACACGCTTACCCTTCGCTTGACACCAACATCTGCATCTGCCTTGATGTACACGTCTGTCCGCGCATCGGGATGGACGTGATCGACCAGGGAGCTCATGTTCCGTGCTTCCGCGGGGGCTCGGTGGGAGTCTACGATGGGAACGAAGAGCCTCCACTCGGCTTTTGGCGCCATGGTACGCCAGTTATCCCGCGGTGGTCGTGTTCTCCCGTGGGGGTGTTGTTCGCGGGCAGGGCGTGACCAGCGACGCGGAGCAATCATCACACAATCAACGGCGCTTCTTTTTTCCGTACCCCCCCATTCTCTGACATCATCCTGTTTGCGTCTCCCCATATCTTGATCTACACGGCCCTCCAGCCCTGGACTGCTGTATCTACCTTTCGTGTGCTTCGGTTCCAACTATATAGGTCGCCAGTCAGACAGTTCGGTGTGTGTTTCAAGAACCAGCCGGGGCCACATACCAAGATATTGCAATGTCTCCCTTCTTCCATACTATCCGTTGAATATTCACGTCCTCTCGTTCCACCTGCGCGCTGTCTCAACGTCTCCCGGCAGGTATCAAGCATGCGCGCGTCTACAAGAAACGGCTCGACAACTACCCATTCTAAACGCGCCAAAGCAGTAGCTCTAACCGCCGTAACTTGCGTTGACACAAACCATCGCCCGCTTTTTCCTGTGGATAACAACGCAATGCAGACGCGTGCGTCCTTCCCAGACTGTGGCACTACAGTGCCGGCCCGCACTTAAGAATATGGCTTAAGAATTGATGCTAAAAAAATCCAAAACTTGAGAATTTACCGAGTAAGAACACGTGCTCAGCTGCACGCCCTGTTAGGAATAAGAACACACACCTGAGGTGCAAAACTGCTGCTACAAATGAGAACGACAGCAATGCAGCGGCTGCCAGGTAAGAATACTCGCAGGGGGGTGGAGGGAAGAGGGGGGAGTGATCCCAGAGTACAGAGTATTGGATTTGGGAGGGGTACATGCCATACATATTAACTTTTGTATTTTTTTCGAGGGGGAGGGTGGGCATTGTACGCACGCGTCGTGCCCCTGGGTGCCCCCGAGCAAAGCGTGTGTGCCACGCAACGTGCAGCGTGCCACGAGCTGCCTGCGGTGCAGGGGGATCATGTCCCAGTGCAATCCCTTATCCCATGGGATATTGAAAGAGCTTGGCAACCTTGCAGAGTTGAAACAAAGGGGTCTGATTCTTGACCGTCACTTCCAGGAGAACGCGTGGGCCGACCAAAAGTTCTGCATGGAGTGGGCGAAGAGGTCCTACCGCGAAGGCCTGATGCGCGGGCGGGGTGAGCTCCCCAAGGCGAGGTCCATTCTTATGATGGACAACTTGCACGCGCAGACCACGGACGAGTTCAAGGAGTATCTTGCGAAGCACTGCAACACTCTCGCCTGGTATGGCCCTTCGGAGTGCACGGACGAGGTGCAGCCAGTTGATGCAGGAGCCGGACGATTTCTCAAGGTGGAAGTCGGGAGGCAGACGGACATATGGCTCGAGCAGTCGGACAACCTCGAGAGGTGAGAAACCGCGTCGCTGACAGCTTCTGATCGGCGCGTCCTGATCGCTCAGTGGATGGGAGCGGCCATGGCAAGACTCAACAGCCAACAGGCGTACCGATACCGTCTTTTCGAAAAGTACGGGATGGCCATGACCGTGGACGGCTCGGGCGATGATCGAATCACCTTGGAGGGTTTGGACAAGCCGTATACCTTCGCTAACGATGAAGACAGTAGCGACGACGAACAAGGTTCGGAGAACGGCAACGATGAGTCTGAGGGGCGGGCGGAGGAGGGCGATGGAGGACGTGAGACGCTCATGGAGGGCGTTGACTCCAGCGACGAAGACGACGGCGGTAAGTTTGTTTTGCACAAAACCAACTCTTCATCTTCTTTTTGTTGATGACGATGTCCTTCATGTTGACGTTAGCTTGTTTCCGCGCCCGGCTACACTCAAATTATGATATGTTCAGGTTGAGTTCGGCGACGTGACACCCTAACTTCTTGTGTTTCCCGTTGCCTCGTTCGCAGACATCTCTCAACTCCAGACCGACGAGCTAGCTCTTCTGGACGACGACGACAGCATGGACCCACAAGACCCGGAGGATGAGATACAGGGAATGGAGATCCCGGCAGGCTTTTCGTATTCAAGAAGCTAAACCCGTTGCTCTTGACAGATTGCTTTTGCGGCGTGGAGTGCTCGTTAAGCTGGGCATGGGGTGGTTTGGCGGGCTGATCACTCAACAATCTCAGAAGGACACTCGCCACCTGTACGACTACTGTGTGCAGCTGGAGCTAGACCAGAGTACGCGCAAGATGCAGTTGCCCTTAGACAAGTACAGCGGAGATTCGGATGCGGCTGTAGGCTCCTGGGTTTTGCTTGAGAGCATTAGTAGATCAGGAAGGGTACGCAGGACCAACGTCACCCTTGTCGACCAAGAAGGTTGACAGTTGCTGCTCCATGCCTTGGTATTTTCCTGTATCGACAGCAGTAGTACTAGTGTTGCTCATGGTTGACAGCCGACAATATAGCAAATGATGTTAAAATACTGTAAGAACAAGAACGCCCCTTTCTGGAGAAGAATGGACGACGAAATAAGAACTTGGCAAATAAGAACTGGTGCTCGGGTTGGGGCAGCCAATAAGAACTGAGCCTCGCCCAATATAGGAGGTTCTTAAGTGCGGGCCGGCACTGTACGTGTTGCTGTTCCGCATACCGCTGTGCATTATTACCCTTACGGCACCCTGCGAATGAATGTGGTCGCAAGGATGTCTCGAAGTGATTTGGATTGACAACGTTGAGTACGGTTGAATACGCATGCACTAGTAGAGTACGTAGTCTTGAGGGCGTCACTCGCGTTGCAGCGTTTGGAAAGCTTCGAGATGGATATACGAAGCCCCGTCCACCTATCTATGCTTACGCGATGAGGTTCTTTTCTTGATCATGTAAAGTATACACACGAAGTATGTATTTGTCGCGTGATATTAGACTGCGCTATTACCGTAGTGCACACTAATGTGGGGTCGACTTAACAAGTCGTCGCCATGGCATCTGCATCGGCAACCGGGGCGTGCAAGAGGCTCGCCTTGGTCTGTGCAACGCATGCCGGGAAGGCGTCCCGGTGGAGCGCATGTCTATCTGCCAAGCGGTTCCGCAGACACTCCTCGCGATGGTCGTCCCACATGCGGTTGAAGCACAGCAGGAGGCCGAAATTCCACCAACGAGAGTGCTGCAACCTCGCAGGGTACTCAGGTTGGAATGCAGCTTCCTCAACGAATATGAGCAAAGTGAATTGTGGTACGAGGCTTACGAGGGCCTTGAACGTCGGCCAGCTGTTAGTGGCGTGGATGACGTCGAAATGAGGCAAGTGCGATTCCCCGAAGGCACCAAAGAGATTTCTCTACTCCTGTTCCAGAGGACTGTTGAAGGGGAGACGTGGCCGGCGGGGCCGGAGCGCCTGTCATTCTGCGCCCTCCAGTTTCACCTGACTACTTATCGCTGGACTAGAGGGTCTTTCAATGATTCGCTCGATGGGGCGAATTTTCCCTCCGGCCTGCGAGAGATATTCCTCGGCGACGACTTCGACCAGCCCATTCACAAGGTTATCTGACCGCAAGGGCTCGAGAGACTGTCCCTACCTGGCTTCGATCAGCCAATTGACAACGTGAGGTGGCCGACGGCACTAAAATCCTTGGAATTTGTAACTCTGGCGCACATACATCTACGCAAAGACCCGAACACACGTTTGGGGGAGCTTGGCGTCCTCCGGAGTTGCTTCTCCTGCCCCTTCACTACCTTGCCAGCGAGCCTTGAAAGCTTTTGGATTGGTGGTGAGTTCGATATGTCCCTTGAAGGCGTTCAGTGGCCAAGCGGGCTTGTTGCCCTGGGGCTCGGTTTCAATTTTTTGGGGTGGCACGGTTTGGCCGCAGTTTTCGAGGGGGGGTACTTCATGGCCTTCGGGGTTTCCGAATGTTCGAAACCTGTGTTTGTTAGCCGGCACCGAATGGGTAGGGCGCCCCCCCTCCGGCTGCAAGGTTAATATCACGGAGGGGCTGCCGTTTGGGCTCGGTGTTGAAGATGATGGGTCTGACGTGGACGAGTTGGACCATGGCGTTGTCTAACTATCCGTCTTTTTATGACGAGTAGGAGGACTACGACTACCCGTTCGATGACGACGAGATTCTCCGGTTAGTCGATGTGACTCTGCAGAATTTCGCGTCCTCTTCTACCACGAGCATGTTGAGCGTAGTATTGGCGTGGAATGTTTGTGGTGCCAGCAAGTCAGCAACGGTTTTGGTCTCGAAAAGTTTCCCTGTTCAGTTCAGTTCTCGCAGGGCATTTCGTCATTGTGCGGGCAGGTTCGTCGGGGTCCGACCCTGCTTATCATTGTTGCATAGGGTTGATGCAAGGATACTTAGAATGGATAACTGTCCGGCTAGGCCACTGAGATTTTTTGCGCCTATACGTACAATCGAAGTGAGACCACCAGCTCGAGAAAAAATATTTCGTACCTTGGTATGACCTCAAAACTTCGGCTAGGACGGAGATCGGGCGGTCACGTAGAGCCCGTCACACCATCTAAGCAAACCTTGCCCAGGAGCTAGGTACTGCGGTACTTTGTTTTGTTTCTCCCTTCCGGGGCAAACTTTCTGTCAACGCCTGCTATGGACTCCTTTTAGCACGCCGTTCCAATCGACGGGTGGTTAAAGCACCGTGTGCGATGCATGACCCATCCCTCGTCGTGGCTGCGCGCGTCACGACTACCGTGTATTACGTAGTCGCTAGCAGGTGTCGGTATGTCAGAGTAAGCGCGCATGCGCAGCTTCGGAGTAGACGCAACTTGATGATGTTGGATCGTTGCGGTCAACAAAGGTTTGTGGAGAACAGCAGCCGGAGAGTGCAGAGTGTATACGGGGCATTTCACCGAGCATGCAGAGTGTGTGTCATAGTTCGGGACGGGGCCGGTGTGCGCGCTCGGCACTTGCTTCAGGCGCGAAACCATGGAACCACACAAATCCATCAACGTCGACCAATCGCACATGTTCAGAACACGGGGCTGGCATGCTGAGAGACGACGTTATTGCTGGCAAGAAGTGCTGCAACACGACAGCTGACCACGTATTTAAAGTACGCTGTCAAGCGTACGTGATCACTTGCATAGATGTACATCTACATGAACAACGTGCAGAATCAACTTGATGAAGTAGTTTGCGACTGCTTCTGCTGAGCAAATACGCTGGTCCAAATATAGTCCTGTCTCTAACTTTGTAATCACCGCGTGATATCTTAACGAGTGACGTCTCCAGCCTTTCGTGCTGCGAACTTCGGATATTGGCGTCTGGCGCACGTTACTACAGTACGTTCCTCTCAGTAACAACGACATCAACGGCGACGACAAGAACATTTCGGCTACTCCGCATGTGCGTCGTCCATAGAATAATGCAGGAAATACCACTCTTTTCTTCTCGTTTCTTCCGCCGAGGATGGTCAGACCTCACCCACTCCAGACTAGCTGGCTTGTGCAAGGAATCGCGCCACTGGGTCATGCCTTGTGAAGTGGTGGGAAGACATGCGCATGCGGCACCTCACAGCTGGAATCTATTGATGGTGTCCCGTCACAAACCGTTTGGGATAATACAAGCAAAGGGCAACACGTCGCTACGCACATCCACACATACCCTTAAGCGTGGGGGAATGCATACACCAAGCCTAATCCCAGGTGAACGGTGGGAAACACTCATAACATCACAACCCTGAAACACAACAAACGTCTAGTCGCTCAACAAGTCTTCATCCTGATGCTCGCACATCGCTACCTGGTTGATGTCTTACACCACTGGGCAGTTGTCGCTGTCGCCGTTGTGCACGTCCGGGCAGTGCTAGTTTGAAGAAGGTGGGTTCCAAACGAACGCGGGGTCGATGCGGGACGGATCGGAAGCTGTTCAGTTCGTGCCTTGATCCCTCCTGGCGGATGTGCTCAATTGGTTTGCTCGTTTTTTGAATTGGTGACGAACTGGCACACCTATCGGGGTTGCAATTCCCGGACTATTGTAGGCCTTGTGTTATGATCATCAAAGCTAGGGTTCGGTCAGAGGGAACTTGCACGTACCAGAGAGAGACGCCGAATAGCCGTTTCTTGAACTATCGTGTTCTGTCGGACGAAGGGGAATCGCGTTTGTATTGCCGTGTGCGAGCATCACATTACCCACACCATGAAGACAACCGGTACCATCTGCCTCCACCTCCTCCTCGCTATTCGTGGGTTCGTGGTGCCTCGTGTCGTCCGCAACCCCCAAGAGATACGGGCACGCAAGGATGCCAACATTACGTTCACGCTCTCACCTCGGCGCTGTTGTCTTCGAACACGGTGTCATCGGGGAACGTGGTAACGGACGCGGGTTCGCCGTTTTCCTCATCGCCGTCAGAGGTGTAAATTGCTCCACCCATGAAGGCCGCGTTCTCTCTGAAAGTTGTCGAACCCATCAGCCTAGGAAAACACACGCCGAAGAGAACACGAAGCAACGAAGGGAACAGGGGTACCTCGAGACTCAAAAACATGTGAGACTGCGATTTCAATCACAAGAGACGGAAATACGCGAACAACCGACGTTGGGTGCTACAGAGCCGAAACGTTCGCAAGAAATGCGACATGGGGCAAGGTCTGTATGACAGCAACGTGAAAATCATGAGCGTGCACCAGCAGCAAAACGAGAAGCGAAGACTGGATCTCCACAGGAGCATGCCACACGATACACTATGGTAGTTTGGTCACCCGTGAACATTCGTCAAACCACGCGTTGTAATGGAATGTACGAAAATAGGGCCTTTCCGTGAGTCAGACCTACCTTACTAGGAGATCAGGTTAGCACTGATTCGTGCCAAGGCTTGGTTCGGTTATGAGTTCAGGCATCAAACAAATACGCTTGTCCCACCAATGGAACTGCCGAGACCTACGCAGTTGACCCGCGGGTAAGTTCCCTGCCCCACAATGTCTACGTGGAACGGGATTTGTTACACTTGATAAAAAACTGACCAGTGACACAAGCACCTGTGCAAGTATTGCGACTCTAATGGTATTAAGGCGCGTCTCGTGGATTGGTAGCTAGACTAGCGTCGGAGGCAGTATGACTTGACCTGCATTTCGCTCAAGCCTCACCTTGGCTCTGGCTTATTGTCACGTACGAACACAACAAACACCGTTGCACGTCAGTGAACCAAACTATCAACATTGAAGTAGGCAGGCCTGACCCTAACCCAGAGTTATCTTTCCATGGCGAGTGGGTTGACACACTGGTCACATAGATCTGAAGCGTAGTAACCCGATCATGATCGGCCGTTCGAAGACGTCGCCGGTGAAGTGAGATCATGGAGGGTTCGAAACATGGCGGGCCAGCACAATCAGTAAGTGAAAATGGAAAAAAGTTGGTCGGTAACCAACCTGATCCGCAGCATTCGACCTGTCTGTCCCCTGGGGGGAACATCCAACACGACTACGCATGGCGGCGCGCTCACTCACGTTACCACGCCTGCATTCGTGTTGTAAATTGCTCCACCGAGGCCACCGTCACCGGACCCGCTGGCCCCGTTGAGCTCAAAGAGACTACCGGCGTTGATGTTGACGACGCCACCATCGTTCATCAGACCGCCCCCGAGCAGCTGTTGTCGATGGCCATGGCATGGGGTCAACAAGCGGCAGGACACACGGTAGGATATTTTATGATCAGACGGCCGGAGGGCTGGACCACATGCCACGTTATCTTGGGTCGCAACTGGCGTCAAAACAAGCACCTTGGAACCGTTAGTGTTCAACAGTGGGATATAAATCAATACGAAAAACAAATCAAAATCAATACGAAGTCTCTTGACTGAAGAACTGCACATCAGTGCCGGGCATGGGAGATAAACTACCCAACAAATTGTCAGTAACGTTTGTCCGATTGGGTACGTTTGGAATTGCGAACAAAACTCACCAATAAACATTCGCCACATATGTTATTTTCAACCAAACGCATCCAGGTTGAGTCTAGTCAGTTTCTCATTCCATCCCGCACGTCCAAAAGGCCGTAGGGACCTGCCAGATATGAAAGGACTACCGGCAGCAGTACCGCTACAGCAATTGGGTGGATGCTGAACACCTCTTCTCAGTCTGACACAGCAAAGATGCTACTATTGAAAACACAGCTGAGGATTTGACGTTAAGCCCTCGAATCACCACAAGGAGCCTGTGTAGAAGCTCAACAATTACTCTGTGACGACGTCATCCAATCCGACAGCGACCCTGTCAAGCTCCTTACATCGTAGGCACTGTTTTCGGAGAAAGTGGCCGCGCCGTTGAACGTCATGGTGCCAATCGATGTCTGGTAGATCCCTCCGCCGTCCTGCTCAAGACGACAAGGAGAAAGCAGCAATCGTCGCCACCATTAGCATTCGACAGTGCCGTGTGCTTTTTGCGGTGCAGTACACCAAGGCCAGGAAGACACTTCGCTGGAGCAACAAGAACATTATTGCGGCCTGCACATTGTTCAACGAAAAGCTCCTTAAACAACACCAACAGCGGCGGAAGAAGAAACAAGAACGACAACTTACCGAGGACGTGTTGAGGGAGAAAAGGCTCTCGCCTTCCACAACGATTTCTCCGCGGTTGTAAATCGCTCCACCAATGCCTTCGAAGAACCCCTGCAACACGGCCACCGCCGAATGACGAGGTCAGACGTCATGGGTGGGTCAGGATGGGTCCCAGGTAAGATTACGCTTCTAGGAATGGGAGCCATGCCAGAAACCGACCGCTTCACGGAGGGTCTCGGACACCCACCAGGCGTTTCAAATCTCAGGGGGCTTCGTGTATGAAATGGTTTCAAATGCAGGATTGTGTGATGCCGTGGTCGTTATGCACTGCCGCTGTGGGCCATCATATCGCGACAGAGACTCACCCGAGGCGCATTGGTGGTACTTTACAAGTGTGACGCATGCTTGCACCCATCCCACTTGATGTTTCGATTTTGGATCAGACAGCGATCCTCTAGCGCCTAACTCGAGCGCGCCTCGCATCAACACCAATCCTCCGATATCCCATACTTCGGTACGCGAGCGCACGAGGCACTGTTTGTCCCAGCTGTACTCGTGAACCGACCAGATCATCAATGCAGACTGCTGTCACGCCTATAACACAAAAGACAGCCAAAAATCACATCGTACCAGGAGAACACCACTTCCTCCTAAAAGTCGGGCAAACTCACGTCGGCCTCGTTGTCCTTCATTGTGAGCTTGCTCTTGAACAAGATGGTGCCCGAGCCGGTGTTGGAGATTGCCCCGGCCTTCCCCTGCTCGACGGAATCCTCGGTGTGGACTTCGTTCCTTTCGAAAGTGGCGTCTCCCTCGAACGTGAGCGTCCCCTGCAGTACAGAATGATATGTGTGCGCGGATGCACGGATGAGTTGCAAGTTCACCGAGTGTTCGGAGTACATGAGTACATTTCCTCGCCCTTTCATCTTGGTCATTCTTACCTAGTGAATGTCACCGTCTGGCTGTTAGTGAGCGCGTGTTGATTTCTCTTCGCTCCACGTATCCAGTTGTTAAACAATGTTTGCTGTCGGTGTGCTCCTCGTACTCTTACCGCCGTGTCTGCCTCTCTCTGAACACGCTGGTCTCCATGCGCCAAACTCGTTGAGTACTGACCGATCGAGCAAAACGTATGGCGAAACTTGGACGCAGGACAAAATCTGTAGATTGAGATAGCTGACTGAAACCCCGGGCAAGCTTCTCTGAACAACTCGTTTGTGATCAATTTGTCAACCAACACCTCAAATCCGATCCATCCGCCACGTGCACAGAAATACCTTGACCTAAGGAACCGTGAGGGTAGGGCCCTATGGCACGTTCGAAGTGAGCATGAAACCTCCGCCAAGGCCGGCCGTATTTTGTGTACATAGCGCTACTCACATGAGAGGCCAGACGATGCAAGCTTGCCATGCACCACCGGGCAATCACAGCGGACTGCTATCAACATACAAGTATTTTCACCACCGGCCAAGCCAGATATGAAGTAGAAGTGTATCTCGCCCTATCCCTGGCCAACTTGACAATTGCACGGTCGTCAGTACCCAGGGTAAGGTGGCGCAAACGGGCGTGCGTCTCAACCAATGGAAGAAGAGGGGACCAGCATCAAGTACTCGCGGGCCTGTTTACCCGTTGATAGATTGTAGAATAACTGGTAAGAATCGACAGATGCGGCAGATGGTGCATATAGGCTTCACCTTGTTGTGGATTGCGCCGCCCTTCTTGACGATGTAGCTCAGGCCGCGTCCAATCCTCGTGCACCCGTCCCCGCAGGATACCGGGCCGATCTGCTTCACTGCAACAGAGTTGTCGCTAAACTCCGACGTTCCCATGAAGGTCGCGGTCGCCCCCTCGGCTACAGAAAGAACACCTCCGTTCTTGACCTGAAGACGTTGCACGCGAGAAGACCCAACAGATCAGTGCTGCACCCAAAAATCACTTGGTGACTGCTGTTTATCGTCGAAGTACTAGCAGAATGAGTTGAATACTGCCTTCTCATGTCACTTCTCGATAACTGATTCCTTTGGGGCGTCGAACTGCCGAACTGCTAGAATAGGGTTGGAACAGAACAACGACCGTTCGGACCAAAAAGATCGGGCACCTACAAATCTGAAAGGTTGTATTTGGATGACCCACTGCTGGTGCTCTCCTTCAAGAGACTACCATGATCGGGGTGGGTGTGCGTGCGGTGGCGAAAGCCTGACCCGTTTGACTTGCGTGTGTCAACGAGACGCGTTTCGGCTTGTATTCCGGTCACGATCCGCTAGTGTTATACAATCAGCAACGTGGGTATCCGGGTTATCATTTCATCATTGCGCCGGATAGTCTTACGACTTTCTTGACAAAATGTGTATCTTACCGGGAGGTAAAGAAGATGTCTGGGTGGTGGAGTCAGGTGCTAAGTACGGGCAACTACATCAGTAGGCACATCAGTGTGCAGCGGGGCTGAACGCTCCTGAGGGAGATAGATGTAGGCTACAGAGGCAGTCCCAGCCCGCAGCCATACAATACCACGTAGAAAGAACAAATGATGACAAACCAACACTATTTTTCCCCGTCAAATAAAAGTGTCGTCCAAGGCGGCAGCGCGTCGGTGACGGTACGCATGCATACTGTACAGCAGTGGACCATGAATGGCATGGGCCTACACCTGATTTCCGGGAACCGGACCCATACGCAAAGGCAATTTAAATGTTGAACCGGAAGAATTAAAAACAAAAACATCCATATTTGAGAGCGGTAGAGTCGGGTAGATACCCGTCGTCCCACCATCATCACAATGTCGCATATGTAGGACATTATGGAGTCAACCTAAGTCCAGACAGCTGATTGACTGGTGGTCACGCCGCCGAGGGGGCATCCTCCGAAAGACGTAGCACAGCAGCAGCAGCAGTACATGACACACGTAACAAGCGAGGGCGGCATAGGCCAAGGGCGGCCAAAGGAACAGATCGTACGAGGCGTCGGTAGCGATTTTTAAGCCAGTTGCCTGCTGCTGGCAGCGTATAAGCGAGGGAAAAGCAAGAAAGATCGCAGAAGTCGATCAATCTGCGGTCTGGTTGGCGGACTGATCTTTTGATCCACAACAACAGACGCATCCCAAAACAGAGGGAGGGACAATGAGACGTACACACTGGGGTAGACCACGGGCGACCAAATAACATATCATACAAGGTCTCCCTTCGGGACGTGGGTGTCTACCCTCCCTCAGGTGACGCAAGACCACATGCGCATTGCCCGAAGAGGGACCGTGTGTCTTACAACGCTTGTATTTCCGCACAAAACATCGCGCACGTTGTTATTCTACATTGATTGGAGCCAGCTCGAGCGGACAATATTTTGGCAGCGAAAACTCAGAATTCCATGACGTCTTAGATTGATGATGGCAGATTTCCGATGAGACCCAAATTTGAAGCCGAAACAACACCACAAATAATGGGACATGTTCAACACTGCGGCTGGATGCATGCTCTCAGACTTGTCTACACTTGCCCCGCTGCGAAGTGCAGTAAACGTAGGTACTGCTGTTGGACAACGCGATGACATGAAGAGTCACAGCCAGCCATGAATCATCGAATGAATGAATGAAAGAACGAAATGAACGTGGAGAGGCAAGAGGCAAATATTTCAAACCGTCGTATTTGATGGGTTTGATAGGTTTCAGAATTGGTTCGCCAGGCTTTTTCAGCGCGGAACGCGTCCCCGGGGTTTTGAGCCAGTTTTCGCAACTTTGGCCATCAACCACACGCGCCACGGAGGCCTACCGAGCTCCGGGCACGGGCGTTAATGTACCGACGAGCCTCCTGCGTGCCCCTGAGAAGGAACCGCGAAAAAAGACTCGCTGCCGCGAGAGAAAGTAGCGCCGAGGCATGAAAAGTGACCAAATCTTATGTACATACATACATATAAGGCGGCGTGAGCGAGGGACGCAATGCAAGTAGTATTAGTGCATGTCCGCACAGCAGCAGCAGCAGCAGCAAGCAGCTGATGATCGATGAGAGCTTTTTGTCAACACCAAACAACACTCTCACTCGTCCGCGAGTTGTTTCACAGGATGAGTCCTGCATACACGCCTGAATCGTGGTGTCGGGTGAGGTGTGAGCGTGTGCAGTGGCAGTGGTAGCCTCGGTGTGATGCCGCATAGGCTCGATCCTTTCAATCTATCTATCTGCGCCTGTTTGTCTCTCTCCGCCCGTCTCTTTTCGCGCTTCGCGCGAGTTGATTTAATTAATTTTTGTTGACCCCAGGTGTGGGAGGTGTGCCGATTTCCGGACTCACTTCTCGGAACGCAGGTCGGGGCCCAGTTGGGCCGTTTCATCAAGAAAAATTATGTGTACAAACACAAGAAGAGACAGGTGTTGTGTTTCTACAACACGATTTTGCTTCCACGTTTGCAAGTTCCAAATCCCGACTTTCCAGATTTCCATCCGTCAAAAGCTTGTAGGTGCCATTTCTAATTTCCGCCCGGTGTATTTCGAGGTTTCAACGGTAGGGATGTGGAAATTTGGAATTTTGAAGTTTGAAATTTGGAACCAAACAGCTGCCTGCTTGCAGCGGTAGCATGCAACAAAACGGCCCTTTCCGGTCCCCCCCGTCATGCATAGGCTACCGAATATGTGAGTACGTAGGGAATGGTGCCATACACTACTGCTGTAGGGGTGCAGAGAACTCCAGTATTGAATCGGACAGCTTGGAAGTACAGCAGCGACAAAACAAGCGGGGGGGCAAGAGCTGCTGCCTCCTCTACATAGTCCACGTCTTGGATGTACGGCAGCATATTGGAGGTGGTCTGTACGCACGTATAAAATGTGCAAGAAGTACCGAATACCCGGACTTGACAACTTTCACCTCCAGCGACCGGGGTATCTCACGCACGTCCACACCTTTCGTCTTCAAGTATCCAGGCCTACGTTAAGGCCTGTAGCGTATGCTGCACGTACCACCCGTCAGGCCTACGTTAAGGCCTGTAGCGTATGCTGCACGTACCACCCGTACGCAGCTCCAAAACAAGCCGCCCTAAGCTGGACTTCTTCAAGCAAAGACTGCTGTACTCCTCTTGAAAAAATCGAACACCAGTCAGTCAGGCCAAGCAGGGAGGGCCGAGAGGACAACATTTCAAAGTTTAGTCTTCTCCCTTTCGCGTGTACCCTCCAGACTCCAGACCTCCTCAGTGCCTACCTGGTCAACGACACCGTTGAACATGACGTCGGGCTCGACCGTCAGCTCTCCGAGAACCTTCAGCGAGAAGTTCCCGAACTCCACTGCGGGAACGGTGGCCTTGAGGGTCATGGCGTTGCGGACACGGAAGCGGGTGTATTCATCGCAGGCGAAGGTGCTGGCGTCGATGGTAAGGCTGGTGACCTGGGTATCGTCGACATCCGCAAGATCGGCACATGTGGCGACGGTGTACTCGACCGCCGCAGCTGGCGCTGCCAGAAGACTGGCGATGAGCGTGAGAGAGACAGTCTTCATGGTATCTGTTGTGCCTGCTGTGAGAGAGAAGGAAAAGTGTTCCGTGGGGCGAGCTGTTCATCGGCATAACTGTCTATTTACACTCTGTTAGTGACTCTTTAGGACTAACCGATGTTGCACTTTGCAAGGCTAGGTTCCTCACGCGAGCAAGGCTAGGTTCCTCACCCCACATCTACCCTAACCCTAACCCTAACCCTCACCCACGGCCAAAGCACGGCCTAGCGGCCGCGAACTGGTCGAGAACGCGGCGCAGCCGCGTTCTCGGAATGCGGAACGGCGAGAGGGCGCTGGAGAGGGTCAAGGCTAGGAACCAACGCCGGATTAATCGGAGGAAGCCGTTAGATAGGAAGAGTCACTAACAGACTGCAAAAACTGCTGGCATAACTCCCATCTGCTCATCATCGTGTCCGAGCTGTCAGCGTTTGACAATCTCGTGAAAAAACAAAATCGCGGTTGACCAAATTGCAAATAAATCTGTGTCGATCTCCATCGTCGGGGACATCGCGCCATGCCGTGGACCCGCTCCTTCGAGAGATATATATATCTGCTCTGAGAATTGTCGCAATTTCTAGGGAAGTAAACGAGGGAGGATTGTTCTTTACTCGATACTCGACAAAGATACCTTCGGGGAATTATCTCTCTTGGATCAATTCCAATTCGGTTCCGGGTAATAAGAGGGCAAATTCCGCCAAATGATTTTTAAATATTGAACAATGTCATCGGCAAAAAAGGTGTATTCCTGCAGGCATTGCTATATCTTCAGCTTCCGTGCCCCGCCAAACCCATCGGTGACACCAAGTGAAAGCGAAGTCGACAGCATACCCCTGACAACGAAAAAATCAGTCGAACTGTTCAGGTTATCTCCCCTGTAGAGGACGAGTTCGTGGTCAGTGGTGAGCAGGAAAAGCAGTCCCGGCAAAAGTGTGGTCACCTGTCGTCAGCCTACAATCACTACATTTCGCAGGATCGCATTCATTCATGCGTGGCGTCTATCATGGATCTTAAAATTCTTTGATTCTAACGCAATTGTTCGGTATTTGGACCCTTGGACTAAGATACCATCTGGGCGGGTATATCTTTCAGAAATATCCCGTCCACCTGCCCAGGTTCCTAGTATTCCGACTTTAGGAAGGTAGCAGTACAACAATGGTTACTAGCAGTAGCAGCGAGTGCAAGCGTTCCACCTTGCTCAGTGTCTTCTTGCCTGGTGTTCCCTGGTTTTGCCTGGGAGTGAGCGATAGCGAGCGACTGAGAGAGAACGGAAGGATAAGGAAGGAAACAGACCGAAGAAGCGAAGCGGCTCCAACCCGCACACACAGTGGTCGGACTATTTAGCTCCACACTGAACCCGTGTCAGCAATAGTGTTGTCTGTCGTAAACCTGCAACGCGTGCTCTATAAACTGCATATAAGCGGATTATATTTTTTTGTACAGTCGGCGAATTCCATTCCCGTGCCAACAATTTAACCAACTCTGCTGTTACGGGTTCGAAATCCACCCGCTTCTTTCGCATTGCAGACCGGAGAGCTTCAATCTTCTGAGTATAATGTAGGTGATGTGCGGGTGATACCTGCATCTGATTTGTTTGCTCGCGTATTTCATCCTCATTGCAAGCTCTCATGTCACAGGGTATGAGCTTGCTGTGTGTAACCGGATTCGGCAAGGTCCGCGTAGAAAATCGGGAAATGTTGCTGCAGACTCCGCAAACAGACACGATTAATGTAGTACTCCGTCAGACGAGGAATGTCGTCGAGAACCAGCTTGATCGAAAGAGCAGTCATGAGGTGAGCAGCACCGACGTCACCGATACATCCGACTCGAATGCCGCCGTTCATGGCCAATTGATACAAAATGTCGGGGTCATTGTTGTATTATTCGGACGAGGGAACATTGGGTGGTGATATATTTTCAAGGATAAGTTTCTGTCGCGACTCGCGTGCAACGTCTTCCGCCGGTGACGTAGCCATCGTTCGTACTTACACATAGACTATTTTATTTCTTCCGAACGACAACTGTGTACGTCGGGGGCGCGCTGTCGCGCGCTTGACATCTGCTTCACCGAAAAAACGTCTGGAGAGGGTCGTGGTGCGTTCAACCAAATAAAAGTTGTTCGTCCGGAAACGTAGAGTAGACAGAAGGCACAACAAGCGAAGGAGGTGGCAGAATAATGTTAACGGCTATCTTCCACCATGTGCACAAAAAATCGATTTTGGTTCAGGTCGTACCTCACCTCTACAGTTTCATCCTGTGCCTCTCGTGTCGGACCGTTTGAGAGTCCAGGTGTCGCAACCCATCCGAGAAACACCAATGCCTGTCCCACGGGTATACCGGGGTTCTTTGAGGCAACCAGAAATCGTATTCGAAGTCGGTGTCCGAATTCAAAGAATGAGTATTGTCGATCAGCCACGTCAACCTCGTTCTCCGCTGCGGGTATATCTACCGCACAATCTATTGGTAATATGCGAAGGCTTGCTCCGCTCGTCACGATGTGTTCAAGCGATGAGAAGTTCACCGTCGCCCCGTTCATGCCGGCATGCACGCGCACCGCGCCTCGTAGATCAGAGATGTCCCCGGCCAGTGTCCGATTCGGCTGGTGAAGCGCCAGGTGAATAGAGATGTCTGTTGACATACATACTCATTGCCAGGTCGAGGAGTTGTTCGCCATCGCTCGTCGACGTATCAATTTGCACTTGGTGGTTTGGAGGGAGCAATTCGGGCCGAGTGGTTTTCATCCACATGTATATCTCTGTCGCGGTTCTCGGGACCTCTCGAGAGAAGGGACCATTGTCCTCCTGTTTGCCCCTGATGATCTCGGAGACTGATGCACAGAAATCATATTGGCTTGAACGCAACAACTGCCTTCTTCATTTTCGGGTACGGAGCACACCCCTGTGTTTCTGGATGCGTTCGGAAAAGTTCGCCAGCTGGGAGGCAGATCCTGTGTTTATTCTCGGGAAAGACAAGAAATTCGTCACACGGGGGATCGCGTGTACCTCCACCTATATTCTTGGATTCTACGAGCTATGATCCATCCCGCGGCTGATCTAAGAATCGAGATATTTCTGCGCCAATACCAGGCTCGCGGCGAATGCTGTTGAGCGTTTTTTCTTTCTCCGGCGTCTCGTCTCCATGAGTAAATTGAAGACAATATTATTTAACTGGATCTGGTCGCCCCGTCACTGGCCGAGTTCATTCGATGTAAAACGACATCAACTCATCCCACGTGGTGTCGCGCAAACCTGTTCGGCGACACTCGTTGTGACTCTCAGACTGCACGCGAACAACTCTCTTCCCCGTCACCGTGTAAATTGCCATCACCTTCGCATGATTTCCACCGACAAGGTCTATCGCGTCTCTCTGCTCCTTGCGTACATCCGGACTCGGGAACCCGAAACACGCTGGGTTGCCAAACACTTTGACTAACGCTGCGGCAAACCCCCTCTGAAACGACCCCTCCCAGCCATCCCCAAGCCTGTCCTCGAACAGAGCGAAGCACTCCTTGAACATTTGCTGCCAAATCTTCACGAGATCCGCGTCGTATACTCTCTGTGTAGCCCACCTACTTCCATCAAAGAACTCGAGATGTCCTGAGTTTTTCGTGTGGAACACATTGTTGTTATGTGGATTTTCGTAAACGAGCTTGGCGAACTTAATAGGAACCTCGTAACACGCTTGAGTAAAGGCGAGCTGTGACATTACGCCATAATTTACTCGGCACCTGCGACATTTTTGATCGAAAACGGCCGAGTGGTGCTGTCATCTCCGCTGGTGCTGTCGCTGTCCTCCTGAAGAGTCTGCAGCTCGTACTGTAGCTCGTTCCACCGTTTTTCTGTGAAGTTGTTCAGGGCTGTTGTGCATCAACAGCTTGTTTCAAGTGTTCGATGAGTCCATCCTTCCCCCCATACAAGAGCTGCTTGAACTGCTGCATTGAAACGCGCGACACGTCCTCGTCTACAAGGGCGTGAATGCACACATACCGTTGTTGCCCTCCTGGGGTTTGATTTTTTTGTCGGCGTTGTTGCTGCGGCTCGTGGTGTCGATGCCTGTCTTGCCTGTCTTGCGCCCACACCTCCTATCACTCCAATTTTAGTCAATGGCGTGCCGGTCATGTCAGCGAATGTAGTCGGCTGCGCCTGTGCTCCAAAGGCCTCGCAAATCTTAAGGACTTTCCCACGGGTCATCCGAGCAAATTTCGTCCTGCTTTGAATGTACATGTTCATGTGTGTACCACAGTCCTGCAACGCTGTATACCCGATATCGTATTCATCACGCAAACTTGAAACTTGCGTGGATCTCTTCGACGTCAATGATTGCATCTGACGGAAAGCGCACAACGAGCCGAGAGTAGGTCTTCATGAAACACCAGGGGTGGGCGTCGGTTGTGTTGAACGGGGGTGAGGCCAGGGCGTCGAATGTCAACGATCGACAAAATCTTAATCAGACATGCTTCTACACTACCTCGCACCACTGCCAGCGAATAACAACAGTTTCAACTGCGTGTGAACGTAAAACGGTGAAACTCGGACCCCGAACCCATCCCATCACTCCGCTTTCACGTACTGTACGCTTGCTGCTCGCATCACTTCCCTCCTACTTCATCGACAGGTGCTGGTTTCGCATTCTCCCCCCCCGATGGGCTCTCTGTCCCTCCCGGGCCTCTCCCTGCACCCAACACGTCCTACGTGACATGCTTCGAGCTCGGCGGCTGTGACCTGCGTGGGGCAGTCCCTTCCCTGGGAATGCTACTCTTGAGGTACTGTGGCAATCTAGGACGTACATGTTGTCATCTGGGTCAGTGTTTCGGCTTGAGTGTCAGTTTGGAAAGATGTTCGCAAGCTACGCTCTACCTTGCCAAGTTGCAAGGGTGACACCTTTGTGGGTTACGAGCGATCGGTTTCTTGGTGAAACAAGCTAGTCAAGCTCCGAATGGCTAAGCGTCGATTCATACCATATGCACTATTGGTACTCGTGCTTCCTACTCCAGGTGTCCGTTCCTACGCAGACTGGGCCTGTCAAACCCACTTCCAGGG